ACACAGGCTTTTCTTTGAAAATTTGTTTTGAAAATATTTCCATTCCTAACCCCTCAAAAGAGAAAACTTAAATCAAGTTCTCACATGCCAGTTCTGAGAGTCAGGGAGCATGCATCCTACAGCCACGGCCTTTGCTGGGTTCAGCCTGGTAAGTCGACCACAGGATAACAGCACAGCCCTAACCTGTGTTATACCACTGGTAGACCAGGGAGGAAGTGACAGTGACACAGATGCTTTTAAACTCTGTGCATTGTGGCTAAAATTATCTCACTAATCACAGCTTCTATAAATCAGCTTTGGGTGGACAAAATGCAGGTGACTCCATTAAATACGATCTCTGGATATAGTCAATAGACTCAGAGGACCCCAAATCAGGAAACCAGGAGGCCTAAACGGAAGGGCTCTTGGGGAAGGGGGAGGGTGGGAGAGAGACTCAGGATTGTCCTTCACTGACGCTTCCCAGGGCTGAACACTTGGGAACAGATGAGGGCTTTAGGAATCCAAAACTTATAGACTCACTTTCAGATGCTGCAATAAGCTATAATTCAACCTGCTCCATGGTACGTTTGGACTGCAAAGGCAGAGATTTTTTTTTTTTTTCTTTCCCAGGTTTATAACCAAGACAGGATTAATAGAGGTCGGTCTTCTGCAGGGTCACATGACTCTAGGGACAAGTCATAGAGATGCCTGGTATACCTTCAACAAAGGAAAGGGCCCCATTGCCAAAAAGACCCAGCTAGACCTACCTCTCCCAGGACATTCAAGGGGCTCTGCACTAGCTGCTGGGGTTTGCTTTGGTTTTACTTTTGAAAAAACTTCAAGGTCATTTCAAACATGTGGAAATCAAATCCAAACCCACAGCAAATACTCTCCTTCACTGGCACTGGATTCATCCAGTTCTCCTTGAGTTCTCTGGAGAATTGGGGCTATTACACATTACAGCTAGGCAGATGCCTTCAGCCCATGCCATCACATTTAATGGCATTTTAAACTGAGACCTGTGGTCATGCATAAGCTTCTAAACCAACAACAATTAAAAACAAGGGTGTTCCTTAATCGATTTAGGCTGGCATTAATCAGCTGGTCAGAGAATATTTTCAAAACAAAGGATAATAAACAAATGTGTCAGACGCTCGGCTGGATTCCTTGTGCTTTATCTCTAATCCTCTACCCCCAACCCTTTATGCAGGTGTGGAAGGAAGTTGACAGATAGAGTGCTTAGCCTGCTGTACTTTATTGGATGAGGATGAGGGCCCACAGGGTAGAAAGCTTGGTCCAGGGTGCTTTTAAAGGCCAGTTACCTCACTGTCCCCATCACCCCTACTTCCTGGCCCTTAACTCCTACCTACATATAATAAAATAGAAGACTCTGTCTACTTCTACCTCATGCATATACATGTATACATTTAATGACATCCCAGCCAGGCCTGGTGGCTCATGGGACAGGCTAGGATTGCCCCAAGTTTAAGGCTAGGATTGCTGTAAGTTTAAGGCTATCATGTCCACAAAAAAAAAAAAATCCCAAACAAAAACAAAACCTCTTGGTTCAAAGTTCAATAAAACATTAGTTGATCTAAAAATTGCCCTTGAGAGCCTCCCTCCCTGAATACTGCTCGAACAGCCCTTGTACATCACTTGTCTTTAAGCCCTTCCCTCCTAACTCTGTTCATCTGGCTAAAAAGACTGACTAAACACACTCCGTGGGAATGATACACTTCTCTGTGGGAGAAGACACCAAGTAAGAGTCCGAGGACCTCAATATACACATTCACCTCTCACTCCTCAGCTCCCTCCAGTCAGGGTCCAAGGCCCTCCATGGCCCAGGTGACCAAGGATACCTGCAAGCTATTGCACTCTCCCCCGTCACTGTGTCAAGAGGTATGTGGGAAGTCACTAAGGTATGGGAGAACCCAGGACTTACTTTTTACTCTCCCCAAGCCTCCAATTCTCATCTGCAAAATGGGCTGAAGTGGGCCTGGGATGCCTGTGGAAGGGCTGGCCGTGGAAGATGCTAGCCTGTTAGGGGTACTGCTTGGCCAGGCTGTCTGGCATTGTGTGGTACACTAATTCCTATGTCCCCCAGGGACAGCTACGTTCATTCCCATGGTTGTTTATTATGGGCAAACTTTTGTCCAGGTCACACCACCATCCAAAAACCAAGTTAGGTTCTTTGAAACATTGATTTATCAAAACCCAAGGACCAGTAGCTATGCAGATCATAAGCCCCATTGTGGCCCTTGGTGTTAGCTCTGTGTCTCGGTTTCCTCAGCTGTAAAACAGGCAGAACATCTTCAGAGGGCAGGGTGCAGGTTGTGAGTTAGGAATTATTTAAGTAAGTCACCTGGTCCACAGCTTACCCAGGTATACACACAACTTTCCAACAGCATAATCCAAATTTCCACTGAAGAAAATTACGAGGCCCCAGTGCTCTCTGCCCTGTGACCCCATCTGGCCCTTCCTGACACCAACAGCCAGCTACTACAGAGGTTTGAGCCCCACAGCTGCCCGGGGCATGCAGGAGGGTGGGTGGACTATAATTAGAAAGACCATGCTGACATTTCCCTCTTCACTCCAGACGTTTATTATGCTTATTTCCTGTGAGCTGGGCCAGTCCTGCAGCACTTCACAGGGAACTCCAGGCTTGGAGACGTGGACAGGGAGGGGGCATTCTCTTGCTACCTTAGGCCTGCCCCAGGCCAAGTAAGTCTCCTCATCCACCCTCCCTGTCCACTTTCTGGTGACTGCCTTGTGCTCATGGAGGGGACCCCTTCAATTCCCCTCTCCTATTACTTTCCACAAATCTTTTCCTAGACCAGATAATTTGGATTTTCTTTAAACTAAGATTTCCTTTTATAACAAGCCTGAGGGCAGGTCACAGGCAAGAAGACACAGGAGTTTATTATAAGTAAGAATCCCACAGAGATCAGATCTCTTAGAGTGGAATGACACTGTCCTTCATTAAAATGTTCCGGATGCCCCTGCAGGCTCATCACTATCCAAAAGCACAGAATACCCCACAAAGCAAAACAGCAACGACTACCAAGTGAGGGTACACAGCTGTCAGTGTCCTTTCCTCTCTCCTTGGAAGTTTGGCATCCAAGAAGGTATATTAAAGGCCATTTCAAGACTCATCCGAATTGTGATGGTTTCTTTGAATGTTTCTCACAAGAGATGTGATTATTGGAAATATTTCCAATTATGGACAAGATTCACATGGGCATGGACGACGTGCACACATGATGTCAAAGTATTTAACCTTTCAGAACTTTAACTTCTTCACTTATAAAATGCTGACAAAATTCTCATCTCACAGAGTTCTTGGAAGATAAAGTGAGATCACTCTGTTAGTCCCTGCAAACATCCACTGCTCTGGGAAGCAGATTCTCTTACTTGTCCCTTTTGCAGCTATGGAAGGCCTGTGTCAGAGACTTGGTATAGCCCACAGACATCTTTCCCTAGAGGCAGATCTGGCCTCCAAACCATTGTTCCTTTCTTTTGCCCAAGGATGCGTATTAAAAAAAAAATACAAAACAGTACAGGGAGCTGGCCAAGGGCCTGCGCTAGGGAGGTGGAGCTAGGAGGGTCTGGAGTTCAAGGCCAGTCTAGGGTCTTTAAAAAAAAATGGAAAGGAAAAACAAAACAGAAAGGAAGGAGAAAGAAAGAAAGAAAGAAAGAAAGAAAGGCCTCCAAACCATTGTTCCTTGCTTTTGCGCAAGGATGCGTATTAAAAAAAAAAAATACAAAACAGTACAGGGAGCTGGCCAAGGGCCTGCGCTAGGGAGGTGGAGCTAGGAGGGTCTGGAGTTCAAGGCCAGTCTAGGGTCTTTAAAAAAAAATGGAAAGGAAAAACAAAACAGAAAGGAAGGAGAAAGAAAGAAAGAAAGAAAGAAAGAAAAGGAGGGAGGGATGGAGGGAAGGAGAGAGGAAGGAAGGAAGGAAGGAAGGAAGGAAGGAAGGAAGGAAGGAAGGGAGGGAGGGAGGAAGAAAAAAGGAAGAAAGGAAGAAAGAGAGAAAGAGAAAGAGAAAAAGGAAGGAAAGAAAGGGCAGTATTGGGGGTCATTACATCATTACATATTTCATGTCATTTCCCCTGGGCTTTGTCACCTTCACCTTGGAAGCCTACAAGCTGTGATGGGGAAAAAAGGTACTTCCTCTAAACCACTGGGTTTTTGTTTTTTTCTGTGCTGGCTAGAAGCAGTATGCCCAGCCTTCCCTCCTGCCCTGAATGGCCCTTGCTCCAAATATCTACCCCAGGTGGCACAGGGGGAGTACAAGTTCCAGGCTGGGCTCCACAGTTGATGAGCAAGCAGTCAAGGGCTGACTGAGGATGGATAAGCCACTTAGAGCAGAATCAAGTACAAATCTAACATATTAAACGAAATCCGGCTCCCCTCAACCTCCAATCCACACTCCTGATTTGGAGCAGCAGCTTGCTCAGGAAGCTCCTTTGGAAGTGAATGGTGCCAAGGGTAGATAACCCTCCCTGAAAGAGGAGACCATCCATCTCCACAGGACTCCTGGGAGAAGCCGAAGCAGCAGAGGGCCTATCCTGGTCCCCTAGCTAGGTCACTGTCCCCTGTGGGCCCTCTGGAACAGGCGCCCAACCCCTGCAGTATGGGAGCTAGGGAAACAACTTTACTAGAAGGGGGCAGCTTCCAGAGGTGACAGCCAGAAAGCATGCACCAGCTCCAGGGGCAATAACCATCCCCTCATTCTATGGGATTCAGGGTCTTAAGCCTTGGGGATTCTCAAGCACAGGACCCTGGAAAGAGGCTGGGAAAGGGCGCTGAAGGAAGTTCCCAAGAAGGAAGAAAAGGTGGGAGAAGATAAAGCTTTAGAAACTCCATCGGACCCCTTCCTGGAGACCCAGAACACCCATGACAGGACTAATTCCGCCAGAGTGCCGCCCTTACTTAGCTTGGTTTTAATTGTCTTCCACGTACAAACAAAACAGATTCCTAGGCCTCAGACCGATGGTGAGAGGGTAACGAAATACAAAGTGGCCCGGCTACATCGCCATCACTTTATTGAACTGTCACCGTTAACTTAACTATAAATACTACGGTGGGGAACGAGGCACACGCAGGCAGCCTCGGACCGCGGGGCTGAGGTCCCCGCGCCCCTGTCCCCTACGTATCCCGGGCCTGTACACTATTTACAACTAGCTCCTCCTGGCTTTCTCGATCCCCCTCCCGCAAGGCAGCGCGTGTGCAAGTTGCATCGTCTGTCTGTGCAAGTCCTTGAGTCAGGCAAGCGCCCCGGCAGGCACGCAGCCGTCAGCTGTCCGAGTCCAAATCGCTTTTACCTTCCTCTTCCCTCTTCTCCGGCGAGGCTTTTGAAGATGCCTTGTTCCACTTCTCCGCATTTTCCGACTCCTCGGAAGAGGACCGCTTTTGCCTTCTCCATTTGGCACGCCGGTTCTTAAACCAGACCTGTTGCGCAAGGGAAAAACAAAAAAACAAAACAAAACAAAAAAACCGGAGATTATCAAAAGATAGATCAAAAGCCTGCTTTGCCCCCTAGCCCCCTACCCCAGGGCACTTCAGTGGCTGCCTGTGGCCAGGGGACAACCTGACGGTGGAATCGATACCCGGGTGCCCCGCGTAGCGCCAACAAAAGAAGGGGGAACACCCACTGAGTTCTGCGTTTCCCTTCCACTTCCTGGGCCTAATGCGCCTTCAGGCATCCCTGGTAAGCTTAATGTTGGAGGGTGGGGGAGTCCCCAAGAAGGGCCGGGAAAACCCAGTTCGCAAGTCAGAACTGCCAGACACCCCTGGCAGGGCCCGGCGCCTACCTCCACCTTCTCCTCGCGGAGATGCACCTTCCGGGCCAGCTGCTCCCTCGTGCCCACGTCTGGGTACTTCGTCTCCTGGAAGAGGTTCTCCAGGGCTTCGAGCTGTTCGTCGGTGAAGATGGTGCGGTGCCGGCGCTTCCGCCGGCAGTGCAGCTGATTGAGGAGCTGCAGCTCGGTGCGCGACAGCGTGCCCACGTTCATGTAGGGCAGCATCTGGTGCGGCACCGGGGACACCAGCACCGAGCCGGGGCCCTCGTAGCCTGTGACGGAGAGGAGCGGGAAATCAGTCACCCTCTCCGGCCTCCGCACCCCAGCCAGCCCGCCGGCTACCCTCTCCCACCTAAAAACAGTCGGTAAGGGCCATTGGGTCTCGGGGAACGCGAGGATCTGGGACGCTCGGGCTTGGAAGAGGTATGATGCCCGCACACACCCAAAACCAGTTCAGGCATTCCAAAACCTTAGTCTCCCACGCGGGCACTTAATTACTGCCCCGGTGTGGAATCGCCACCCGGGCTCCAGGGCTGCTGGATCTGTTAGTAACACTCCCTAAAGTTTGTAAGAGATGTGTGCAAATTTCCATAGCCGGTAGCCAAAAACAGATGGGATAGAGGGGAGGCTTGCAAGCGGAGAAAAGTGGGCGTAAGGTGAATAAATCAAGCGCCACCGCCCGTCCGCGTCCCGGCCGTTCCTGACTGCGGAGGTGGCGGAGACCCGCGCGATCGCGACCTTACCTGGGGGCGTCGGGACGCAGGAGCACTGCTGCGCGCCCAGAGGCTGCACTGCCCCGCAGCAGGCCGGGCCCACGGGCGCCGCCTGCACGTGCAGCTGCCCGTAGAAGTAGTTGTTGTAGCCGAGCCGGGAGCCACCTACCGCGGCAGAGAGGCCGGCGCCGCCGGGGGCCACTGGGCGCGGGTAGAAAGCGCCGTAGTCCGAGGAGGCGCCGCCGGCCGCGCCATAAAGCGAGTCCCCGTGCAGAGCCGGGAAGACGACCGGAGCGGCGGCGCTGGGCGCCACCGGCAGCACCGAGTCCTTGCAGCGCGGCCGGGCGGCCAGGATGTTGTCGATGCTGAACATGCTGGCGGGCATCCCCGAGCCCCGCGCCTGGGACCGGGGGGCGGCGGGGACGCGAGGAGGAAAAAGCTCCAAGTGTGTGTTGGGGGGTGTCCACGCTCTCCTCCGGCCGCCGACCAAACCGAAAGAGAGCGCGGCGGAGCGCAGCCCCTCCCCGCCCCCTGCGTCCGCGCTCCCTCCTCCCGCCCTCTCCTCCCCTCGCCTCGCTCGCTGGGCTCAACCCGCCGGTAGGACGCAGCTCGGACCAGCTCAACCTCTTGTTGGTTTTATACCGAGTCGACGTCATCCTGGATTTAGTTCCTGGTAATATGTAGATGACAAACAGAACCAGATTTGGCCCGTTCTTTTCCTTGGGGTGTGTGTGTGTGTGTGTGTGTGTGTGTGTGTGTGTGTGTGTGTGTGTGTTGTGTGTGTGTTGTGTCTGTTTGTGTGTGTGTGTT